TTCTGGTTCCAGATGAATTTTAGGAATGTTTTCTCTAGATCTGTGAGGTATACTAATGGCATTTTAGTTGGGATTGAATTGAGTCTGTACAACAATTTTAGAAGCATGGCCATTTTCACAATGTTAGTTCTTCCTATCTATGAGCAAGGAATATCTTTCCATTTTCTGATATTCTCTTTGATCTCTTTTTTCAGAGCACTACAATTTTCACTGTATAGATCTTTTACTTCTTTTGTTAAATTGATTCCTAAGTATTTCATCTTTTTAGATGCTATTGTGAAAGGTGTGGTTTCCCTAATTTCTCTCTCAGTCTGTTTGTTGCTTGTGTGTAGGAATGCTGTTGATTTTTGATTGCTGACTTTGTATCCAGCTATGCTACAGAATGTGGTTTTTAAATCCATAATCCTTTTCATGGAGCTTTGGAGGTCTTCTATGTAGAGTATCATGTCATCTGCAAATAGCGATAATTTCACTTCTTCCTTTCCTATCCTTATTTCTTTTATTTCTCTCTCTTGTCTAATTGCTCTAGCTAATATTTCCAGAACTATATTGAATAGGAGTGGTGACCGTGGACATCCTTGTCTTGTGCCTGGTTTTAAAGTGAAAGCTTTCAATTTTTTACCATTTAGTATGCTGTCAGCCATTGGTTTGTCATAGATGGCTTTGATCAGCTTGAGGTAAAGGCCATCTATTCCTATTTTCTCTAGGGTTTTTATCATGAATCAGTGTTGGACTTTGTTGAAGGCTTTTTCTGTATTAATGGATATGATGATGTGATTTTTGTCTTTGGCTCTATTGACATGGTGTATTACATTAATTGATTTGCATATATTGAACCATCCCTGCATTCCTGGTATGAATCCCATTTAGTCATGGTATATAATCTTCTTGATGATTTTTTGTATTCTGTTTACTAGTATTTTATGGAGAATTTTTGCATCTGTATTCATTAGGGAGATTGCTCTTTAGTTCTCTTTTTTGGTTGGGTCTTTCTCCAGTTTTGGTATCAGGATAATACTTGCCTCCAGGAATGAGTTGGCGAGAATTCCTTCCCTTTCAATTTCATTAAAGAGTTTGAGACGAATTGGTGTTAAATCATCTCTAAATTTCTTGTAGAATTCAGCTATGAATCCATCAGGAACTGGGCTTTTCTTCATTGGCAAGATTTTTATTACATTCTCAATTTCACTGGCTGATATTTAGCTATTCAGAAGTTTTATATCTTCTACATTCACCTTTGGTAATTCATATGTGTCTAGAAATCTGTCCATTTCCTCTGTGTTTTCCATCCTATGAGGGTAAAGATTTTCAAAGTAGGGATTGATGATCTTCTGAATTTCTTCAGGATCTGTAGTGATTTCATTCCTTATTGTGTGTATTTCAGTTTTTTCTTTCCTTTTATTGATAAGGTTGGCTAGAGGTTTATCTATTTCATTTATTCTTTCAAAGAACCAACTCCTCAGTTCATTAATTCTTTGTATGTTTTTTTAGTCTCCATTGCATTAATTTCAGTCCTGAGCTTTATAATTTCCTGTCTTCTTTGGGCTTTGAGTTTGACTTGCTCTTCTTTTTCTAGAAGCTTGAAGCACAACATAAGATTGTTTATTTGTGCTCATTCTGTTTCCTGAGGTGGGAATTCATTGCTGTAAATTTTCCTCTGAGGACTCCTATCATTGCATCCCACAGGTTCCCGTAAATTATATCTACATTTTCATTTGATTGTAGATAATGTTTAATTTCTACTTTGATTTTGTCTGTGACCCATTGATTGCTCAGGAGGGTGTTATTTAATTTCCATGTGTTTATGAAGTTGTTGTGATTTCTTTTGTCATTAATCTCCAATTTCATTGCACTATGGTCTGATAGTATGCATGGGATAATTTCAATTCCTTTGCATTTACTTAAGCATGTTCTATGTGCTAACATATGGTCTATTTTAGAGAATGTCTCATGTGCAGCTGAGAAGAATGCGTATTCTGATGCTCTTGGATGGAACACTCTGTAAAGGTCTACTAAGTCCATTTGTTCACAAGTTGGTTAAATTCTGTTATTTCTTTGCTGATTTTTTGACTAGTTGATCTATTGCTTTGTGACAATGATGTGTTAAAGTCCCCTGTTATGATTGTGTTGCTGCTTATTTCATTTTCCATGTCTATTAAAATTTGTCTTAGACAGTT